CACCCCCCCCCCCCCCGTAGCTTTGTTAAAACTGTTCTGCCGGGCACGGTGGCTCATGCCTGTAACCCCAGCACTTTGGGAGGCTGAGGCGAGAGGATTACCTGAGCCCACGAGTTTGAGACCAGCCTTGGCAACTTGGCAAGACCTCATTTCTACAATAAATCAAAAAAATTAGCCAGGCCTGGTAGCTTGCGCCTGTAGTTCCGAGCTACTTGGGAGGCTGAGGTGGAAGGCTCGCAGGAGCCCAGCAGATCGAGGCTGTGGTGGCCGTGAGCATACCTCTGTACTCCAGCCTGAGCAACATAGTGAGACTCCATCTCAAAAAAAAAAGCACTGTTCTGAGCACAAATCAACCTGGATGCAGTGTTTATGTACAGAAATGACAGCCCTTATTTTTAAGTTCCTGCCCAGAGAGCTGGCCTGTTCCAGACTAATATGGATCATTTGAGAAATTTTCTCAGTCTCTCCTGGTGAATTGGACTCTCTGGTCTACTTTTCTGAACCTGAGGGTAGGAAGGGCAAGATCATCAGTTGTCATGAAAATAACCTGCCATTAAGTGTGGATTTCCTGTTCTACTGGCTGCTTGCTGTCAAGAAGGATTTGCAGTAAGAGTGAGTTTGCTCAGGACAGCCTGGTGTATATGGACACGTCCTATCACATATCATTCTGTGCTTTCTCCTCCCTGATTCCGACCTGGGGAGGAGCTGGACAAACAGGCTGCTGGTGTTCTGTTTTCCCAGGGCTGGCTGGGCTTCCAGAAGATATCTGAATTCCTTTCTAGTAAATGATGAGGAGTTATTATAGGGTGACTGGAAAGCGTTGACATGGCTGGTGAAGTAAAAGGATTCTAGCATTGGTGCTAACTGTGTAACCCTGGATAGGGCAACCAACCTTGACTTGTTTGTTTTTGTTTTTTGTTTGTTTGTTTGTTTTTTGAGTTGGAGTCTCACTCTGTCGCCCAGACTGGAGTGCAGTGACTGCTTCCGGCCACCGCAGCCTCAACCTGCTGGGCTCTGGTGATCCTTCCACCTCAGCCTTCCAAGTAGCTGGAACTACAGGCATGCACCACCACGCCCGGCGAATTTTTTTTTTTTTTTAGTTGGAGTCTCACTCTGTCACCCAGACTAGAGTGCAGTGGCCGCTCCTGGCCACCACAGCCTCGACCTGCTGGGCTCCGGCGATCCTTCCACCTCAGCCTTCCAAGTAGCTGGAATTACAGGCATGCGCTACCACGCCCGGCTGATTTTTTGATTTATTGTAGAGATGAGGTCTCGCCAAGTTGCCCAGGTGGGTCTCGAACCCACGGGCTCAGACAATCCACTCACCTCGGCCTCCCAAAGCGCGGGATTACAGGCTGAGCCACCGAGCCCGGCCTGTTTCATTTTTTTTTGAGTTGGAGTCTCACTTTGTTGCGCAGGCTGGAGTGCAGTGGCATGCTCCCAGCCACTGCAGCCTCGACCTGCTGGGCTTAAGCGATCCTTCCGCCTCAGCCTTCCAAGTAGCTGGAACTACAGGCACACACTACCACACCCAGCTAATTTTTTAATGTATTGTAGAGTCGAGGTCGCCTCATGTTGGCCAGGCTGGTCTCGAACCCATGGGCTAAGGCAATCCTCTCATCTCAGCCTTCCAAAGTGCTGGGTTTATAGGCTTGAGCCACTGCACCTGGCCTGACTTTGACTTGTTAAAGGAGAAGTTAGGATTAGATGAATGCCAATTCCATTTATGAAATTATCAGGCAGTTACTGCATGCAAGTTTCTGTGGGAACGCTGAAGGTCAGGTCTGTGGCGTCATGAGGCTGACAGTCTACTCAGGTGTACACACAAGTGATGGGCAAAAGCCACTCAGTACTAAGAGAGGGAAGGGCTGTGTGTGCTGTGTATGTCCTCCCTGGGCACATAAAGGAAGGATTCCCCCCAGACTTGGAAGGCTCTCTGTAAGAAGGGGTGTCTAAAGAGACCCAAAGAATGCATAGGAGTTGGCAAGATACAGGTGGGAGGGAAAGAGGCAGTACTGTCTTATTCTAACACTCTACCACCCAGACTAACACTCTACCACCCAGACTGGAGTGCAGTGATGTGATCACAGCACACTGCAGTCTTGACCACCTGGGCTCAAGTGATCTTCCCAGATCAGCGTCTTAAGTTTGTTTTTTTTTTTGAGTTGGAGTCTCACTCTGTTGCCCAGACTGGAGTGCAGTGGCCGCTCCCAGCCACTGCAGCGTCGACCTGCTGGGGCTCCGGCAATCCTTCCGCCTCAGCTTTCCAAGTAGCTGGAGTTACAGGCACGCTCTACCACACCCGGCTAATTTTTTGATGTCTTGTAGAGATGAGGTCTCACCAAGTTGCCCAGGCAGGTCTCGAACCCGTGGACTCAGGCAATCCACTCACCTCAGCCTCCCAAGGAGCAGGATTACAGGCTGAGCTACCGAGCCTGGCTCTAGCTTCTTAGGTAATTGGGACTGCAGGTGTGCACCAACATGCCCTACTAATTTTTTGTGTTTGTTAGTATGTAGAGACAGGATCTCACTATGTTTCCAGGCTGGTTTTGAAATCCTGGCCTCACTAGGCTTGTAGGTATGGGCCACTGTATCCAGCCTCGGCTTCTATCCTTTCTAAATTGGTTTCTGTCTTTGGTAAAAGACAAATTCTGGTTGGGCTCAATGGCTTACACCTGTACTTTGGGAGGCCGAGGTAGGAGGATCACTTGAGCCCAGGAGTTTAAGACTAGCCTGGGCAATATAGTAAGACCTCGCCTCTACAAAAAAAATCTGAAATATTGCTGGAAGTAAGGGTGAGGAAGAGTTGAGGAAGTAAGGGTGAGGAAGAGTTGAGGAGGGATCTCCCCAGAATTATTTGCTTTTGTTTTAGTAGGAAGCCACAACATCGGGTTAAGCTTGGGTGGCGTTGGAGGATTTGCGGGGTTGAAGAAGCTAAAAAGTGCTGTTTGCAGGTTCTGGGTGTCACTTTAAAGAGGAGTTCAATGAATTGTGCCAGTTAACCCTGGAGTCAGAGTTAATCTGCTGGAGTCCCAGAGGTGGTCCTGAGTGGTGAGGGGGTAGTTGCAGTGGGCTCTCACTCATCCCTTTTCTCCATCATGCCTCCAGAACCACCCAGGTTCCTGGGTTTTCTTCTAAGCTTTTTTTTTTTTTTTTTTTGAGTTGGTATCTCACTCTGTCGCCCAGACTGGAGTGCAGTGGCCGCTCCCGGCCACCGCAGCCTCAACCTGCTGGGCTCCAGTGATCCTTCTGCCTCAGCCTTCCAAGTAACCGGAATTACAGGCATGTGCTACCACACCCGGCTGATTTTTGATTTATTGTAGAGATGAGGTCTCGCCAAGTTGCCCAGGTGGGTCTCGACCCATGGGCTCAGGCAATCCACTCTCCTCAGCCTCCCAAAGGCGCGGGATTACAGGCTGAGCCACTGAGCCCGGCTTCTTCTAAGCTTTTTATCTATGTTTACTGTCTTTTTCCCACACCATTTAACACATCCCCATCCTGGATCACAGGTCACACTCAGCCGGTACCAGAGAGAAGCAGAAGAGAGTAATGTGGCCCTTCAGAGAGAGGTGGACAGAGTGGAGCGGAAAGAGGCAGAAGTTGGGGAGCTGCAGAGACGTCTGTTGGGGATGGAGACGGTAATGGTGGGGTCTTCTCAGTTCCTGGTTCTGGGCTGGAAGGGATTCGAGAACCGACTGAGATGTTTGCTGAGATGCTGCTTTTCCAAACAGCTCCAGTAAAGCCCACTTCTCAACTTTGGCAAATTTTTAAAAAAGATAGGGTCTTGCTCTGTTGCCCAGGTTTGAGTCTAGTGCCACAATCATAGCTCATGATAGCCTCCAACTCTTGGGCTCAAGCGATTCTTCTGCCTCAGTCTTCTGAATAGCTGGGGTTTTGGGCGCATGCCACCACACCTGGCTAATTTTTTTTAAAATGTGGTTTTTTGTAGTAAGAGTGTCTCGCTTTATTGCCCAGGCTGTTCTCAAACTCCTGGCCTTAAGTGATCCTCTTGCCTTAACCTCCCAAAGTGCTGGGATTACAAGTGTGAGCTACTGCTCCCAGCCCCCTTCAAATACCTTTTAGCCTTTAAGGAATGGAAAGTTCTTTCCTTTTTTTTTGAGTTGGAGTCTCATTCTGTCACCCAGACTGGAGTGTAGTGGCATGCTCACAGCCACCGCAGCCTCAACCTGCTGGGCTTAGGCGATCCTTCCACCTCAGCCTTCTAAGTCGCTGGAACTACAGGTGTGTGCCACCACGCCCTGGCTAATTTTTTGATTTACTGTAGAAGTGAGGTCTTGCCAAGTTGCCCAGGCTGGTCTTGAACCCCTGGTCTCAGGTAATCCTCTCACCTCAGCCTCCCAAGGTGCTGGGATTACAGGCTGGAGCCACTGTGCCCAGCTGTCTCACCTATTTTCAGCCTCTCTCTGACTAGAGTTGAGCCCATTTTCACTTTAGGGGGCTTCTTGTACAGATATCCCTTTTGGGCATCTGTTCTTAAAAAGCCATTCAACCTGACTTTTCAGGGACTGACAGCCATAGCTGGCGGGTGGGCCTGCATAGTGCAGAGCCAGGTTTCCCTCTGGGCAGCTGGGTGAGGCTGGGAAGTTTCTGTATGCTGAGGGTGGGAGGGGTGCTCTCTGACAGGGGAGGCCACCCCATCAAACCAGCTTGTCTTGCTGCTCTTTGGCAGCTGTCCCAGGCCCAGGAGGGGCTGAGTCCCAGCCATTATGCCCATCTCACCTTAAACACAGGGACTGTTGCCATCTTCTCATCCTAGATGTTTTCTCCTTGACCCACCCAGGAACATCAGGCTTTACTGGTGAAAGTCAGGGAAGGGGAGATGGCCCTGGAGGAACTTCGGAGCAAGAATGCTGACTGCCAAGCAGAACGAGAGAAGTAAGGCCCCCAGTTTTCATTGTGAAGTTGGGGTGCAGGGAGGGGAGGGTGAACCAAGCAGCCTGCAGCTCCCACAGCAGCCAGGTCTGGACGGAAGCTCGTGCTGATGTCAGATCTTCCAGCTCTGACTCACAACATATGCTTGCCCAGGGTGGAGCCCCACCCAGGGAGATGCTTTTGGAAGGCTGCCATCTCCAGGGAGTTCATTTTCTGTGGACTAATACCCTAGAGAATAGGCTTTTGCAGTTTTAGAGCCAAGGTCAAGGGAGAACCGGTAGAGCATCTGCTGTTGCAGTGTGTCAGTCCACAGATTATGACACTGGATGTAACAGACCACAGCTTCCTCCCTCCCAAAGCAAAAACCGACTGTTGGGCCAGGCACGGTGGCTCAAGCCTGTAATGCCAGCATTTTGGGAGGCTGAGGCGAGAGGACTACCTGAGTCCAGGGCCTCGAGACCAGCCTGGGCAACATGGTGAGACCTCGCCTCTACAGTAAATCAAAAAATTACCTGGGTACGGTGGCACGTTCCTGTAGTTCCAGGTACTTGGAAGGCTGAGGCCGAAGGATTGCCTGAGCCCAACAGGTCGGGCCTGTGGTGGCCGTAAGCATGCCACTGCACTCCAGGCTGGGTGACAGAGTGAGACTCCAATTAAGAAAAACTGGCCGAGCTCGGTGGCTCAGCCTGTAATCCCGCACTTTGGGAGGCCGAGGTGATTGAATTGCCTGAGCTCACGGGTTCGAGACCCGCCTGGGCAACTTGGCGAGACCTCATCTCTACAATAAATAAAAAAAAAAAAAATTGGCCGGGTGTGGTAGCGCGTGCCTGTAGTTCCAGCTACTTGGAAGGCTGAGGCGGAAGAATCGCTGGAGCCCAGCAGGTCGAGGCTGCGGTGACCGGGAGCAACCACTGCACTCCAATCTGGGCGACAGACTGAGACTCTAACTCAAAAAACAAACAAACAAAACTAACCGTCAGTTATTGGAGGGTAAAATCAAATAACTTCCTTACAAGTTGTGCTGATGAAAAATCGTATGAGCTACTTTGTGAGGAGATACTGAACTTCCTGTTACTTGAAGCGGTTCTCATAGAAACTGAGAACCAGTGGCATGTAAAGACCACTCAGATCCTTTCGACCTCCAAGGCTCTTTCTGTGACTGGGTGGAGAATCCCTTCTTCCCTTGCCTCAGCTTTCTGGTCTTTATCCCCAGGGCTGCTACCCTGGAAAAGGAAGTGGCTGGCTTGCGGGAGAAGATCCATCACTTGGATGACATGCTCAAGAGCCAGCAGCGGAAAGTCCGGCAGATGATCGAACAGGTCAGCAGGGTCAGATCTTCACCTGCCTGAGTGGCTACCCTAAGTCTGTGCTTTCACTTATGCTCCTAGAGAACTTGGCTTACATTCATGCATTTCCCGTACAACATTTTCAGCTACCGGTTACTAGGGTTTGAGTTCTTGGCGTTTGCTTTTCTTCCATCTTTTCCCTACGTTTGGCTATTTGGCTTCTGCTGCCCAGTGGGAAAGGAAGGGAAGGTTAGTTTCCCTTACACTCTGTGGAGAGTGCTGGTAAATGAATAACTGAGTCACAGTAAGCTCTGTGATCTGTGTGCAGATGATCAGTTTTTGTGCCGTCTGGCAGATTTCCCGCCTACCCCACCTGAGTTTTAGGGGTGGCATACTCAGGACATGCCCCTTTGCAGAACTGTTTTGCAAACTTAAAACTCCCTAACTGGAGAGCATATTTGCTTCTTGTCAGCGCCATTTGCATCTGTTTTGTTTGCTGTTGTTTCCCATCGTCTAGAACAGGGTCTGTCAAGTAGTAAGCACTCAGTCATTATTTCTTGAATGAAAAAATAATTTGGGGAGCTCTCTGAACCTTTACTGGTTCAGGGTGCAGCCTGAAAAAAAGAATTAAATTAAAAAGCAAAAAATAATATCTATTTCCTAAAGCCAAGTGGAATGGGTTTTCAGTCATCTATTATTTTGGACTATCAGGGTAGTATTTTCCTCCCAACCCTGGGATAATCAAGAGTTTGATATAGACTGAAATGAAGCCTTTATAGAAAAGCTCAGCCGGGCTCGGGGGCTCAGCCTGTAATCCCGCGCTTTGGGAGACTGAGGTGAGTGGATTGCCTGAGCCCGCGGGTTCAAGACCCGCCTGGGCAACTTGGCGAGACCTCATCTCTACAATAAATAAATAAAAAAAACGAGCTGGGCGTGGTAGCGCACGCCTGTAGTTCCAGCTACTTGGAAGGCTGAGGCGGAAGGATCACCGGAGCCCAGCAGGTTGAGGTTGCGGTGGCCGGGAGCAGTCACTGCACTCCAGTCTGGGTGATAGAGTGAGACTCCAACTCAAAAGAAAAAAAAGAAAAGCTCATTACATCACATGAGAGTTGCAGAGTTCTGCCTTCTGTCTCTGCTGGCTTCCCCAGCAGCCGGGGTGAAGTTTGGTGAGTGCATAATGAGTTATTGAAGAGTGAACTCCAGTGTCTCCTCACCTTGGCAGCTCCAGAATTCAAAAGCCGTGATCCAGTCGAAGGACACCACCATCCAGGAGCTCAAAGAGAAAATCGCCTATCTGGAGGCAGAGGTGCGTGTGCTGGGCAGCGGGGAACTGGGGCTCTTGAAGAGAAGCCAGACTTAGGGAGGGAGAGTTTACCAAGAGGGTCTTGGTCCCACCTAGCCATTGCACCGAAGTGAATGCTGTATACAGGATGGCTGGTTGATCTTCAGTTCATTTTCTGAGAATGGTAAGTCCTGCCCCTGCCTTCAGGGACCTGTCATCATGGTGCAAGTGACATGCCATGGCAGCAGGGAAGCAGCCTTTTATTCTAAGCAGATGGGCTTTGCAGAGGAGCCGACAGTAGACTGGGCTTTGAGGAGGTGGAGGCATTCTACAGGTGGAATTTTTTTTTTTTTTTTTGAGTTGGAGTCTCACTCTGTTGCCCAGACTGGAGTGCAGTGGCCGATCCCAGCCACCACAGCCTTGACCTGCTAGGTTCCGGTGATCCTTCCGCCTCAGTCTTCCAAGTAGCTGGAATTACAGGCGTGTGCTACCACACTCAGCTAATTTTTAATTTTATTGTAGATGAGGTCTCGCCAAGTTGTCCAGGCACGTCTCGAACCCGTGGGCTCAGTCAATCCACTCACCTCAGCCTCCCAAAGCGCTGGAATTACAGGCTGAGTCACCGAGCCTGGCTCAAGTGGAATCTTCTGTGACTCTGAGGATGTCTCTCTCGGCTACTGAGTTGTCCTCCTTGTCTAATTTCCACTTTGCTACAGAGCCCTTCCTGTCCACTACTTGGAGGTCACTTTGTAGCCACTGTGTGAAGATCCCCTGTAGTGGGAGAAATAAATGAGAGAAAGGGTTGTTTATCTTTAGGAAGTTTGTGGTCTAAGGTTAGAGATTAAAATGCATTAAAAAAAAAAAAGACTGGCCGGGCTCAATGGCTTAACCTGTAATCCCAGCACTTTAGGAGACCAAAGTGAGACCAGCCCGGGCAACTTGGCGAGACCTTGTCTCTACAATAAATCAAAAAATTAGCCAAGCATGGTAGTGCGCACCTGTAGTTCCAGCTACTTGGAAGGCTGAGGTGGAAGGATCCGGAGCCCAGCAGATCAGTGCTGGGGGTGCCATGAGTATGCCACTGCACTCCAGCCTGGGCAACTGAGTGAGACTCTGGCACAAAAAGAAAAGACCAAAGAATGCTTTATAGAATCTATAGGCTGGGTGCAGTGGCTCACACCTATAATCCCAGCACTTTGGGAGGCCAAGGTGAAAGGATTTCCTGAGCCCAGGGGTTTGAGACCAGTCTGGACAACTTGGTAAGACCTCATCGCTACAGTAAATCAAAAAAATTAACCGGGCATGGTGGCGCGTGCCTGTAATTCCAGCTACTGGGAAGGCTGAGGCAGACGGATCACCTGAGCCCAGCAGGTCGAGGCTGTGGTGACCGTGAGCATGCCACTGCACTCCAGTCTGGGCGACAGAGTGAGACTCCAACTCAAAAAAAAAAAAAAATCAACAGAGGCAAGTGAATATCTCAACTGAGGACAAGAAGTTATATATAAGAGAATATAGAGGCCATACAGGCGATGGTCAGTGTTGCACAGAGTTATTGAGGAGCAGATAGTGGAGGAAAAAAGCAATCTGCTAGCCGGGCTCGGTGGCTCAACCTGTAATCCCGCACCTTTGGGAGGCTGAGGTGAGTGGATTGCCTGAGCCCGCGGGGA